AGAATCTGTTATATGTGATGTGTATGAAGTTAGCTCACAAGGAGCTACCTAAATATTTTGGATGACATGTCTTAAGGATATATGCGAGCTTCTACACTTATTTGAATTCTGTGTTGTCAAAACCTTTTTTTTAGTCATATACATGAGATTATGTGTAATACGTGGCGTGGCGATCTTTATATATGTATTTATTCATTACTAATTTTATTCATGTTGTTGTATGGTTTCTCTTTTTCGCTTTGCCATTTCCTACTTTAATTATGACTTGTTCTAGAAGATAATAATGAAATGAAGTAGCCTCTCTCATGGATAAAATCTATACATTCAATAACCCATCAATGTGATTTTTGAAACTTGAAAGGAGGATTTAACATTTGCAGTTCACAGTGAGCTGCAACATTTCTCAAAACAGGTCTTAAATATATCGAAAACTTTCGAAATAGGCACAGTTTTCAGCATTTTGAAAAACACCAATCTCATCAAAATTATCTTAATTCCAAAATTTTACAAAATTTTCAATTATTTAATAATCAAACGTCTCTAAATTTACTTTATTTTCAACGTTTTTAAAAATTTCAGAACTTTCATAGGTTTGAAAATTTCTAAACTCTTAAAACTTGAAAATATTGGTAGCTTAGAAAGTTTTGAAAATCGTGCAAATTTGAAACAGAAGCCGAAACTACTTAGAAACCTCGCGTTTCCGTGGTTTGTAATTTTGAAATTTCCTAAAATCTATTTTCAAAATTTTCATAATTTCCAGTATTGAAGAATCAAAATTTTCTAAATTTTTATTGACTTCAACATTTTCCAAAGTTTTAGGTTTGAAAATTTGTAAGTTCTTGAAACATGAAAATATTGGTAGCCTTAAAAGTTTCGAAAGTCATGCAAATTTGAAACAGAAGTCGAAACTACTTAAAAGCCTCGTCGCCTTTCCGTGCTTAGTAATTTTGAAATTTTGAAAAATTTATTTTCAAAAGTTCATAATATATCAATATTTCCTAAATTTGCACTATTTTCAACATTTTAGAAAACTTTATAATTTTCAAAGATTTGAAAATTTTGAGATTCTTAAAACTTTTGGTAGTTTTGAAAATCATGTAAATTTGAAACAGAAGCATCGCGTTTCCATGTTTTGTAATTTTGAAATGTATTTTCAAAATTTTCATAGTAGTTTATATTAAAGAACAAAAATTTCCTATGATTTCATTATTTTCAACATTTTTAAATGTTTACAATTTTCATAGGTTTATAAATTTGTAAATTTGTTAAAACTTGAAAATTTTTGTATTTTTGAAGGTTTTGAAAGCCATGCAAATTTTTAACAGAAGCCGAAACTACTTAAAAGCCTCGCGTTTCCATATTTTGTGATTTTGAAATTCCGAAAAACTTATTTTCAAAAATTTCATAATATATCAATATTTCCTAAATTTGCATTATTTTCAACATTTTCGAAAATTTTATAATTTTCATAGGCTTGAAAATTTGGAGATGCTTAAAACTTTTGGTAGTTTTGAAAATCGTGCAAATTTGAAACGGAATCCGAAACTACTTAGAAGCATCGCGTATCCGAGTTTTGTATTTTTGAAATGTATTTTCAAAATTTTAATATCAAATATTAAAGAAATAAAAATTTCATAAATTTCCATTATTTTCAACATTTTCAAATAGTTTTGAATTTTCATTGATTTGAAAATTTGGAAAATGAACTTGAAAATTTTGGCAGTTTTGAAAGTTTTGAATACCATGCAAATTTCAAACAGAAGCCGAAACTATTTTTAGAGTTTTCAGAATATTTATTATCAAGGAATCAAAATTATCTAAATTTACATCATTTGCAATATTTTTGGAAATTTTAGAATCTTTATAGATTCGAAAATTGTGAAATTCAAATAATTTTGATAGTTTTGAAAAACATGTAGATTCCAAGAACGTGCCAAAACTAATTAGAAGCTTCGCGTTTATAAGTTTTGTAATTTGGAATTTTTTAATTCCTTTACATTACTTTATTTTCAAAATTTTCGTAATATTTAATATCAAGAATCAAAATTTCCTAAATTTACATTATTTTCGACATTTTCAAAAATTTTAGAATTTCCATGTTTAAAAATTTGGAAAATCAAGCAAATTTGAAACAGAAACCGAAACTACTTAGAAGCCTCGCGCTTGCGTGTTTTGTAGTTATGAAAATTCGAAAAATTTATTATCAAAATTTTCAGAACATGTATTCAACATTAAAAAGTCAACATTTCCTAAATTCACATTATTTTCAATATTTTCAAAAATTTTAGAAATTTTAAATATTTTGGTAGTTTTCAAATTGCAGACAGAAGCCGAAACTACTTAGAAGCTTCGCGTTTCCATATTTTGTAATTTTGAAACGACATAACGACTTTCAAGCAAAAACCAATGACCCTAGTAGTGGATCCAGCTAGATTCTCTCTTTCCACTAAGTCTGTAAGAGCTTCGCCGTAGCTGAGAATATTTAAAAGTTGTCAATCAAGTGTCACGTGTTGCATCAAGCCCAAAACACCCATCGGCAATGCTTCGTTTTTTACCGTACTGCTACTTTGATATAAAAGCCGGCCAGTACCTAAGGAACCCAATACCCGGGATCCCGCCACCGGTCTTACCTGAGCTGAGCCCTACAAAACACACATACGTCACACTTGTGTTTACCGTACGGGGCCCCTATGCGAGCCGTCTTTCAAAGCACTTTAGGAAGGACACAGGGCTGTATTTAGAAAAGTCCAAACACTTTAAGGGAGGTGCGATTTCATGTAGTTATGACCATAACCCATAGCGTGGTGCTAAATGCCATATTCCGTGAGATTTCCAGCCCGCCACAAGCTTTTAAAACCGTTCGTGTGCTAAAAAGACTCCGTAGAATGACATTCAAAATATTTTGTTATTCATTTGGTTCCAAAAATTTTTTACAGAGCTTGGTTGTGTGTTTGGGGTCGTTATTATATTTTGAGAGTCTCATGCTTCGGGAAAAAGGTGCTAAATGCCATATTCCGTGAGATTTCCAGCCCGCCACAAGCTTTTAAAACCGTTCGTGTGCTAAAAAGACTCCGTTGAGTGACATTCAAAATATTTTGTTTTTCTTTCGCTTCCAAAATTGTTTACGGAGCTTGGTTGTGTGTTTGGGGTCGTTATTATATTTTGAGAGTCTCACACTTCGGGAGAAAGGTGCTAAATTATATATTCCTTGAGATTTCCAGCCCGCCACAAGCTTTTAAAACCGTTCGTGTGCTAAAAAGACTCCGTTGAATGACATTCAAAATATTTTGTTTTTCTTTCACTTCCAAAATTGTTTACAGAGCTTGGTTGTGTGTTTGGGGTCGTTATTATATTTTGAGAGTCTCACACTTCGGGAGAAAGGTGCTAAATTACATATTCCGTGAGATTTCCAGCCCGCCACAAGCATTTAAAACTGTTCGTGTGCTAAAAAGACTCCGTTGAATGACATTCAAAATATTTTGTTCTTCCTTTGCTTCCAAAAATTGTTTACACAGCTTGGTTGTGTGTTTGGGGTCATTATTATATTTTGAGAGTCTCACACTTCGGGAAAAAGGTGCTAAATTATATATTCTGTGAGATTTCCAGCCCGCCACAAGCTTTTAAAACCGTTCGTGTGCTAAAAAGACTCCGTTGAATGACATTCAAAATATTTTATTTTTCTTTGGCTTCCAAAAATTGTTTACAGAGCTTGGTTGTGTGTTTGGGGTCGTTATTAAATTTTGAGAGTCTCACACCTCGGGAAAAAGGTGCTAAATTATATATTCCGTGAGATTTCCAGCCCGCCTCAAGCTTTTAAAACCGTTCGTGTGCTAAAAAGACTCAGTTGAATGACATTCAAAATATTTTGTTCTTCCTTTGCTTCCAAAAATTGTTTACAGAGCTTGGTTGTGTGTTTGGGGCGTTATTATATGTTGAGAGTCTCACACTTCGGGAAAAAGGTGCTAAATGCCATATTCCGTGAGATTTGCAGCCCGCCACAAGCTTTTAAAACCGTTCGTGTGCTAAAAAGACTCAGTTGAATGACATTCAAAATATTTTGTTCTTCCTTTGCTTCCAAAAATTGTTTACAGAGCTTGGTTGTGTGTTTGGGGTCGTTATTATATGTTGAGAGTCTCACACTTCGGGAAAAAGGTGCTAAATGCCATATTCCGTGAGATTTCGAGCCCGCCACAAGCTTTTAAAACCGTTTGTGTGCTAAAAAGACTCCGTTGAGTGACATTCAAAATATTTTGTTTTTCCTTTGCTTCCAAAAATTGTTTACAGAGCCTGGTTGTATGTTTTGGGTCATTATTATATTTTTAGAGTCTCACACTTCGGGAAAAAGGTGCTAAATGCTATATTCCGTGAGATTTCCAGCCCGCCACAAGCTTTTAAAATTGTTCGTGTGCTAAAAAGACTCCGTTGAATGACATTCAAAATATTTTGTTTTTCTTTCGCTTCCAAAAATTGTTTACAGAGCTTGGTTGGGTGTTTGGGGTCAATATTATATTTTGAGAGTCTCACACTTCGGGAAAAAGGTGCTAAATTACATATTCCGTGAGATTTCCAGCCCGCCACAAGCTTTTAAAACTGTTCGTGTGCTAAAAAGACTCCGTTGAATGACATTCAAAATATTTTGTTTTTTCTTTGCTTCCAAAAATTTTTTACAGAGTGTTTGGGGTCGTTATTATATTTTGAGAGTCTCACACCTCGAGAAAAAGGTGCTAAATTACATATTCCGTGAGATTTCGAGCCCGCCAAAACTTTTGTTCTAAAAAGACTCGACACCCCTCGGATCCAACCCTGTTCTAACAGTTGGTTGTTCTAGAAAGCACCCCTCGCCGACGGGTGGGGACGAACTCGTATGTCTCGTGCCATGTGCGAATGCGCTCTGCCTGTGTGCTCCCAGTTCAAATTGCCAGAAAACAACCACGGGTTCGTTGCACGACGCGATTCCGATCCACGCGCGATTTCCGGATAGTTTTCGCGCCCGTTTAGAAATGTCGCAGGTCAGTGTCGTCCAGTTCAACAACATCCTGCAACAGACAGACAGACAGATCATCGTCCTGCGAAAACCTCCCGAAATCCTGCCTCGACCTAAGGAGTTCCCTAAGCAGGACGTACTCATCACGAACACCGCGAGGAAGAAGAAATCCAAGGAGGCCAAGTCGCAGCCTCAACCGATAGCGGTTGCCAGAAGGAACGCCAGAGAGAGAAACAGAGTGAAACAAGTGAACAACGGTTTCGCGACGTTACGTCAGCACATCCCGAACTTTGTGGTGGCCGCGTTCGAGAATACGCACGGCAGAGGTGCTAACAAGAAATTTAGCAAAGTCGAAACGCTTCGTATGGCTGTCGAGTATATACGCAGTCTGGAGGAGTTACTCAACATGGACACCGAGCACGCATCGGAACTATCGTACCCGTCACCTTGCTCTTCAGTCTCGCCTAGTCACCCGCAAGGTACCCTCCTCTATTCGTACCGAATGTCGCCTTCGATCGAGGACGATGACGTGTCCTCGACAGCGACGCCTCCTCCAGACCAGTTCATCAAACTGAACTCTGCCGACGGCTATACGATCATCCCCGGCGATCTCTACGAAGACCACGAGAATCTGGATCCGATGATCGTGAACGAAGAGCTCCTTTCCGATCCAAACCTGTTGGACTTCAGCGAAACCTCGCAGGATCTGAGTTACCTCAACTCAATGCACGCCAGTGACTCGCTATCTCCGGGATTTTACAGCGAGAGCTCGGCGTCTCCGAACGCGGCGAAGAGTCCGGATTCGGAGGTCAGGATCAAGAGCGAGCAACAGGAGTTGCCGGTGTTGACGTTGAAGACTGAGAATGGTATGGAGGGGGGGAAGGAGAATATGGTTACGGTGATGCAGTGGTGGGAGGGTCAGCCGCATGACGAGGAAAGGTAGTTGAGCCGTCTTAGATAAGGTAAGAATATTTATTCAGGGACAAGAGGATATAGTCGAAATCACAGCGATTTGTAAATATTTTTAATCAAGTTTCAGATATTTTAGACAGAGACAAACAGAATTTTATTGTCTTATTGTTGAGCCGTTTTACACACAAGAGGATTAATTCGAAAATTATGGTCATAATTATGCCGAAAATTTGCATGGAAAAAATATGAAGAGTTTCTCTACAACCTGTATGACACAAGGAAACAAAATTTCCGAGTAATTCATATGATACGCCTGCGCATTAGAGTAATGGAACATAACCTTAACGGGTATGACGTTCAATACAGGGTGTCCGCAAAGTTGGGGTTTTCCCTTTCAGAAACAACTGCCCTTGAAATAACAAAGGTATAATCGGAAAGACAACAGACGTCGTTGATTTAAATTTATTTTTGAAATCGAGATCTTGGTTAATATTATAAAACTTCGCAATACTTGGACTATCGCATCCAGCGTCTGACGCCACAAATTTCTGTTTTTGTAATTTAAACAGTGTAACTTCTTCCCGATTCCACGACATTATGAATAAGCAATAACATTGTTTATGAGTGCCTTCAAATTACTCCTCAAATGAAAAAAGTAAATGCGTCTGTTTCGTTCTCGATGTGCCACCCTGTATATACTCAACAGTTTTTACTAAATCCAGTGGTATTTCCATGTCAAATAATAAATGCTTTCTTCAAATCTATCAGGCACATATATGCTGGTTTGTTGTATTCCAGCGGATCGAATCCGTACCCCAGATTTCGATCCATCACCTTACGTCGATTATAATAGAATATTCCAAGTCATAGCATCCTTGATATTGATATACTTTCTCGTGTATGAATGAAAAGTGAAGCCGCTCGTCAATCATTTTGATTTACCTGTTCCTTTATTGTGTTGTCCTACTGTGCCAGGATTGAACATTGTAACACTAGATTCAGAGTATGTTTACATACAACAAAATGACTTAGGCCTCTCAGCCTAGCCGTGTCGGACTTCGTACATCCAGAACTGGCCGATTCGACCGCTCCTTTGTCCCTAAGAAACAGCAACTGCGAAAGAGTCTAACTTTTATTTTAATAAAATTTTGTATAAGTACTTAATGAAGCATAATAAGTAAATGATAAAAATTTCAAAATGATTGTACTGCTTTAAAGCCCTTTGACCTTTAATAATGTGTGGATGCACCCTGATGTGCTACGCATTCTCCAACGCGCCTAGGCATGCTTCTGATCAGGTGGTCAATGTCCTCCTGTGGTATCTCATTCCAGGCAACCACCAACTCCTCTCGAAGTGCTTCTAGAGTCTGAGGAGGACGTTGCAAATTGAGCAATCTCCTACCCATCATATCCCACACGTGCTCAATTGGGGATAAGTCGGGAAATCTTGGTGGCGATGGTAACAATGTGACATCATTATGTTGAAAGAAGTCTATTGTGACTGTTGCAACATGTGGTCGGGCATTATCTTGTTGGAAAGTTGGATCTGCCAGGGTGTCAAGATAGGGTAAAAGATGGGGTTCTAGAACGTCGTGGATATAACGCTGCGCGTTCATGTTACCTCTGATGAAGATTAAAGGTGACCTGGAACCATAAGCTATAGCACCCTAAACCATAACTCCAACAGTGTGATGAACATGTCTTTCAACAAAAAACTGTGGATTCCTCCTTTCACCACGTCGCCTTCTAACCCTGGCACGACCATCGTGCATGCGTAAACAAAATCGAGACTCGTCACTGAAGACAATACTGTTCCATTCCTGATCAGAGAGTGACCGTTGTCTGCACCACTCAAGGCGATTACGTCGGTGTTCTCGAGTTGCTCATAAAAATGCTTTCCATCTTCGTTTGGACACTTTGTATAAACAACAAAATTCCGAATATACCTTTGCGACGTGAAACTTGTGAAATACGGAATGATGGAAGTTAAGAAATATGCAAGGCGGTAAGGTCAAGATCCTCTTAAGCTATTTTGAAACTCTCCTGTCAATAAGGTCTTAAGTCAAAAAAAATATAAGTTAACCGTGATAGAAACATCTTTACGAAATCTTGATTGAACCATTATATATACACTTATCCTTTATTTAACCAGTAGCGACTGAAATCGACTGAAAATTCATGCAAATGGCAACAGTTTTTCCTAATATCCAACACTTTGTTTTATTTGTTCACTTTCTTTCAGTTTCTAACTGAAACAATACGTAAAATTCCCACGACCCTGCGCTCCGTATCTCTGATACAATTGACAATAATTGCTGTATAATCGTTCACATTACGACGAAATTAGTTATTACCGCGCATACGTGCATAATACTTAGGGTGGTTATCCGTCTGTCTGTACGTCGTTAATCGAAACGCAGTCCAGTAAAACCGGAAGTAAAATCCGTTAACGCATGCCATTTGGACGGGCAGTTATCCACCGTTCGCAGTCTGGGAAGCAGGTTCTCTTTCCCACACACAACAAAACACGTGCTGTTCGTGTATTTTACGCTATCCAAAATCGTCGCCATCAAATATACTCAGCGACAAAGCATGCTGTGGCGATAATGTCAACGTATCATCTTTGTCTTTGTTTACCTTTGTCATAATGTTATATCTTGGTCTTTGCCACAGCTAATCCATCTCATTTTAATAATAATATAATAATAATAATAATATATTTATTTCCAACAGGTATACACCCAATCACAGGAAATCAAAACAAAATGGTACCATATATACACATGTACACACATATATATATACACATATATATATATATATATATATATATATATATAACTTGAGACGTGGTCATTGTCGTCTAGACCAGTTAGGTGAAAAATTAAAGCTTCCGCCTTTTGTTGGGTACTTCGACAAAATTTAAGCAAAGAGGACTCTTTATACTTTTTTAATTCTCTCTAGCTTTCAATGGACTTTGCCATCATCATCAGGAGCTGCAATTACAATGATAACAGTAGCAACAAAAGTGTAAAATGAATTTAAATTGACTCAACTTACAGTAGTATGTGAGGATGTTGCTAATTGTTGTTTACGTTCGTTTCCCTCATTCTATACGTAAACAACAATTAACAACATCCTCACATACTACTGTAAGTTGAGTCAATTTAAATTCATTTTACACTTTTGTTGCTACTGTTATCATTGTAATTGCAGCTCCTGATGATGATGGCAAATTCCATTGAAAGCTAGAGAGAATTAAAAAAGTATAAAGAGTCCTCTGCTTAAATTTTGTCGAAGTACCCAACAGAAGGCGGAAGCTTTAATTTTTCACCTATATATATATATAGACAATGAATCAGAAAATAATAACAAAAAAAAAGAAAATAGAAAATCATTAGTGATCTGAATGAACACATAATACATAGGTGTTTGAATAATTAAACACTTCCACAAAAAAAGAGAGGAAAAAAAACATAAAAGTGCTCCAATTGAAGAATAACAATAACTGACACCATCAACAAAACGAGTTTATCTTAATTGCCCCTGTAAATGTTTAATATTTTATTAAGACTGTCATGACATACATCAGCTCTGTTACAGATTGAATTGAATAAGGTACACATTACCATTACTGGGGATCTGCATAAAATATTCGTCCGTGGTGTATCACAGTAAGATATGTGATTATGTAGTGCCTAGACGTATACAGGAGTGTATTCAGCCAGGGGTTCGCCCAATACATTATTATTTTTTTTCTTATTGATTGTCAATAAACTTTCGTGAGGATGTTATCGTTTCATTGCCAAAAAATCAGTTTTTTCTGGAGGTAACAATTCTAATGTGATGTATACTAAGTGACATATAAATCCGAACACCCAGTTTAAATGGTTTTATTTTAATAAAATTTTGTATAAGTACTTAATGAAGCATAATAAGTAAATGATAAAAATTTCAAAATGATTGCTCTGCTTTAAAGCCCTTTGACCTTTAATAATGTGTGGATGCACCCTGATGTGCTACGCATTCTCCAACGCGCCTAGGCATGCTTCTGATCAGGTGGTCAATGTCCTCCTGTGGTATCTCATTCCAGGCAACCACCAACTCCTCTCGAAGTGCTTCTAGAGTCTGAGGAGGACGTTGCAAATTGAGCAATCTCCTACCCATCATATCCCACACGTGCTCAATTGGGGATAAGTCGGGAGATCTTGGTGGCCATGGTAACAATGTGACATCATTATGTTGAAAGAAGTCTATTGTGACTCTTGCAATATGTGGTCGGGCATTATCTTGTTGGAAAGTTGGATCTGCCAGGGTGTCATGATAGGGTAAAAGATGGGGTTCTAGAACTCCGTGGATATAACGCTGCGCGTTCATGTTACCTCTGATGAAGATTAAAGGTGACCTGGAACCATAAGCTATAGCACCCCAAACCATAACTCCAACAGTGTGATGAACATGTCTTTCAACAAAAAACTGTGGATTCCTCCTTTAACCACGTCGCCTTCTAACCCTGGCACGGCCATCGTGCATGCCTAAACAAAATCGAGACTCGTCACTAAAGACAATACTGTTCCATTCCTGATCCCAGAGTGACCGTTGTCTGCACCACTCAAGGCGATTACGTCGGTGTTCTCGAGTTAAAGGGAGGACTCAGTGTGGCCGGTATGAAAACAAGCTAAAACTTCTCATTCGTCGGTAAACACTTCGCCTGCCAATAGGTCTTCCGTGTTCTGCAAACCATTCATTTGCAATGGACCTGGTAGTGAAGAAACGGTCCTTTAAGGCCAATAATCTTAGGCGGCGATCTTCACGGTCTGTTGTTCTACGGCGGCGTCCAGTGCCCCTTGCTCTTTGCGTACGGCCTTCTCGAAGCCATGCCTGACAACACCTAACCACAGTGTCTACACTTCTTTGCACTCTAATTGCAATTGTCCGAAAAGAAAGTCCAGCTTCCCGAAGTCCCACTATACGGCCCCTATCAAACTCACTAAGTTGACGAAATCGTACAGGTCTCCGTACTCTAGGCATCGTAACCGATCGTAAAGGATGTCAAGATCCAAAATCCGCCAACGTTGATTCTTTACTGCGGCTGAAGTATTCATTTTTAGAGCGTTAGTGAATTAAAAAAAAGCAGTATAAAAACCGGAATGTCCAACTGATAAGGCTGAAAATTTTTTCACTTGTTATTTACAGTAAGATAAATACATTCACCAACTTTTATTAAAATAAAACCATTTAAACTGGGTGTTGGGATTTATATGTCACTTAGTATATAAAAAATACTTTTTTATCAATAAAAAAATTCGATTTCACCTCGTAAAAAGCGTGTTGATTTTTCAAATAGAAAAGAACGTAATAGGTGACGCACCCTATAGAAAAATATCAAAAAATTGGATTATCAAATTTCATCAGGACTCCGGATATTCAACATCACAAAAACAAAAACTTGATTGACTAGTGAAAGTAATTCTCACTTCACCATAACCTTAAATCGCTCGATTTCCTAGTGAAATCATTATTCTAATTTTAAATTCAAAACTAGATATTTTGAGTTATCTTTATTAGTTATTAAATTTGCAATGCAACAAAATAAACTTAATAATAACCACGACGCATCCTCGTGCTATTTTTTTTTCTTTTTCGAAACGATTTTAACGAGAAAAATAAATAAAGGAAAACAAAGTTGTAAGATTTTCTTTAACCATTCAATCAATTAAAACAAAATTGCAATGTAGCCTCGAGTCGTCAGATTTTCTGACGGACTGGATATTATAATCGTCTTCTCTGCACATAAAAACTAAAAACTTGATAGTTTAAGTGATTAATCTTAACACCCTCAGAGCAATAAAGTGTCAAGGTATGAAAGCAGCATATCAACGTTCATTTTTTTCTCTGGATAAAACGTTGGTAACGACTTTAATGAGAAAAATAAAGAAACGACAGCAAACTTGTATGAACGTTTACTTATTCGTGATAAAAATGATGCCTGCATGAATGTGTTGGGGCAGGTGGCAGTTTTTATATATATGCTTATTTACATGAACAGCTGTTCTACACAGCCTATAAGAAAATGATACAACTTAGTGATGGCGTTTTACTAAATACAAAGGTACCTGTCATTTGTCTACGGGGGTCGTCTCAAAAATAGGGATCCCAACAGCGTCGTGTTTGTCGGCTCCCCCACCACCGATCCCAACAAGAAGCGCCTATTTGCGATGCCCAGTACCGGATCGACAACCATGCCATGCGCCCTTCATCACCAGGTGCGAAATTCGTGCGGTCTTCCGATATTTGCACGCGAAAACGTTACCACGCATAGAAATTAATCGCCAGCTGAGTGAAGTACATGTTCTCATATGGTGCTGACTACTGACAATCATGACACGTTGCGACGTCGCAAAATCGATATGACGTTTCGTCCCTTGTCGTCCAGCATTAACTTTATTTTTTCTCGTGTACGCCACATTGGATTCTTGCACAGAGGAATAGAGAGTTTAATTCTGATTCCAAAAATGTATAATATGACATACATTAACATTGCTGTTGGTTGTTTCATAATAATAAAAACATGGTTTTCTAGGCAGGCCTTGAAATTATCAGTCATTTGTTCCTTATGTCAGATTTATCGCAAAACCAATACTGACATTTCAATGCAAAAGTTGTCATAAAAAACGGTTAATTTAGAAGCAGTTTATTTTCCACTACAATTTGAAAATGAACAAATCTTATTCTTTGTTTCAGATGCTCTTACAATGATCTCAGACTCTAAGGGATGCAATCAAGCTACCCTCGAGTGCGAATCCTAGTGCCTTGGTGAAACATAAACTGTGCCAGTAATATAAAGAAGGGTAAAATTAACTATTATTTATTTGAATTTGTAATGTTATGTATTTATTGATTGGAATTTCGAGTAGTTTTAATCTTATTGTACTATGAATATGACGATACTCTCGCTGACAACATCATTTTCAAATACATTAATTTGCTCCTGGAGAAATTTCAAAGATAATTTCATGTACTTTGGTACAAAATTTTTTTTGATGTCAATATCTCCAAGCTCATTCATTTTTCAATGTACTGTGCTTCAAGTTCTTGGGTAATCAAACATTCTGCTTCCGACCACATGCAGTCAAACATGGACTACTGCTTCGTGCTTTTCAGCAACTCATCAGAATGGTCAGCGCTTGCTGTCTGGGACAATGAACGAAAGCACAGCAACTATCGAAGTACAAACATACTAAGTGACATATAAATCCGAACACCCAGTTTAAATGGTTTTATTTTAATAAAATTTTGTATAAGTACTTAATGAAGCATAATAAGTAAAGGCGATTACGTCGGTGTTCTCGAGTTAAAGGGATGACCCAGTGTGGCCGGTATGAAAACAAGCCAAAACTTCTCATTCGTCGGTAAACACTTCGCATGCCAATAGGTCTTCCGTGTTCTGCAAACCATTCATTTGCAATGGACCTGGTAGTGGAGAAACGGTCCCTTAAGGCCAATAATCTTAGGCGGCGATCTTCACGGTCTGTTGTTCTACGGCGGCGTCCAGTGCCCCTTGCTCTTTGCGTACGGCCTTCTCGAAGCCATGCCTGACAACACCTAACCACAGTGTCTACACTTCTTTGCACTCTAACTGCAATTGCCCGAAAAGAAAGTCCAGCTTCCCGAAGTCCCACTATACGGCCCCTATCAAACTCACTAAGTTGACGAAATCGTACAGGTCTCCGTACTCTAGACATCGTAACCGATCGTAAAGGATGTCAAGAACCAAAATCCGCCAACGTTGATTCTTTACTGCGGCTGAAATATTCATTTTTAGAGCGTTAGTGAATTAAAAAAAAGCAGTATAAAAACCGGAATGTCCAACTGATAAGGCAGAAAATTTTTTCACTTGTTATTTACAGTAAGATAAATACATTCACCAACTTTTATTAAAATAAAACCATTTAAACTGGGTGTTCGGATTTATATGTCACTTAGTATACATTGCTATGCTTTCGTCTGTTCCCCAGAGTAGACCACGAGATCTTTACATTTCCAACCACTCTCGCAGTGATCGATTCTGGTATCCGATGGTGCGCCGTGTTATCAATATCTTAGTTCTGTACTTTGAGGATACAAACTAACCAGCCAAAACGTCGGTAAAACATTTTTCATACTATTGGCCCGCAAAGTCGAGATGAACTATATCGACAAGCACAGTTCCTTAATAGTTTCTTGAACTCGTGAGTGCTCTCTAACTTGTATTGTCTTATCGATCCATCTCATTTTGCTTCACCAATAGTAAGAACCAAACAAGTTGATCTTTGGAGAAAACGCTTTACTAACGTTTTGGCTCCTGTATTAGCCGACCTCAATGTACGAAATATGAAAAAATAAATTGATTTTTTGAATCAAATACAAGTTTGAGATACAAAAAGATATATTGTGCGGACTGAGAGTACAATTTGATGTGCCTTGTATATACAAAACTTCCATCCATGAAGTTAGTTCCTTCTACTCATTTTCTAAAAACTTAGTATACTAGTCTAGTGATATTGTGTACATACTGTTAATATTTTATTGCTTGTTGACCTGTATAGAATTCTAAATAACTTTGTACAATATTGATGAGAAATGATACGGATGTGATAACAAGATATTTCTCATTTCAATCTGAAAAATTAATAACGTATGACCAGCTGTTATGTATTTTACAAATAAATCCTGCAAGTTATCGTATTTTTCTTGTTTAATTTCCAAAACACCTTATGTCGCCCAGTGTTGGATTTAAATTTGACGCATTAGGACCAAGGACATTTTTTCTTATTCACAAAGGGATAAATTAGAACAAAGGTAAGTATACAAATACTAACCGGTTTAAGGAATATAGTGATATGTAATTCGCTCTCTCCCTCTTCCCTAAAAACGTTTATCCATCGTGTTCCTGACCCAGCTACCTGGCCTCTGTTTGAAATCCGGCTGACCTTTGAAGCGTGATAACATTGATTAAACTATTACCTGGAATTTACGACCGTTAGTGCACCTCCGATTTTTTATTCATCCCCTGATGAAAAACAGCGCACTAACGATCACGGGGTGGCGAAGCTGCCCTTTATTTCAAACTTCAGGGTAATTAACATAATTTTATTCCGATTCAGAGCAGCAAGGGTTGAAGCAGCGATGTCAGATCCTGTAACATTTTCTCGTGAGACTATTTTGCTATGCAGAATGTACGATGTGATCACAACCAGCCTTCACAAATTCGAAATTTACTTTCGGAGCTACAAATGAGATACTTTGTTCAGAGGTGCCTCCAGTGTTGTCAGATCGAAAGCTACGTTGCCGATTAATTAACAGACCTCGCTGGCCGCAAGATATGCGTCATAATTTACCCCACAATGTCAACGCGGGTGTTTCCCAGGGATCGGTCTGTTACATTGCATATCAACCGCTCCTATCCTTGTACGATCGATCCGATTCGCGGCTACTGCTGCTGATGACAGCACTCTACATGCAGGCGTTCAGAGTGCCAAGCTGATCTCTGCCTGTGAACTTGGGCGACTTGCAACTTGGAAAGTATTGCTTGGATTTGGATCAAACTCGTACACAGGGTTTGCTACTATGCCAAGGTCAAAAAATGTTTTTTATTTTGTAAATCGGTGTAGTTATCAAACATTGTTGACAAGCGTTTTTACAACAGAGCCCAAATAGTGCATTGCTGGTTCTGAAGTATAGGCTGAATCTGTTTTACCATTAATTCTCTACTAATTTTGTTTTGTTGGAAAAAGTAAGCTTCTTACACAAACTGCAATACGTGGCAACAATGGCTGCCAAAAAAAATGAAGCTTATTCTTGCATCCTGAGTAAAATTTTTTACATGAAAAGCCCAACTAGGGCTTTGCTGGTTCTGAAGTGTAAAGACAATCTACATCGCTATGTTTTCTCTATTAGTTCTGTTCTGTTGGAAAAATAAGCTTCTTAGACAAATCGCAATACGTGGCAACAATGGATGCCAAAAAAATGACGCTTATTCTTGCATCCTGAGTAAAAATTTTACATGAAAAGCCCAACTAGGGCTTTGCTGGATCTGAAGTGTAAAGACAATCTACATCGCTATTTTTTCTCTATGAATTCTGTTCTATTGGAAAAAATAAGATTCTTACACACACCGCAATACGTGGCAACAATGGATGCCAAAAAAATGACGATTATTCTTGCATCCTGAGTAAACATTTTACATGAAAAGCCCAACTAGGGCTTTGCTGGATCTGAAGTGTAAAGACAATCTACATCGCTATTTTTTCTCTATGAATTCTGTTCTATTGGAAAAAATAAGATTCTTACACACACCGCAATACGTGGCAACAATGGATGCCAAAAAAATGACGATTATTCTTGCATCCTGAGTAAATTTTTTTACATGAAAAGCCCAGCTAGGGCTTTGCTGGTTCTGAAGTGTAAAGACAATCTACATCGCTATTTTTTCTCTATTAATTCTGTTCTGTTGGAAAACTAAGCTTCTTAGACAAATCGCAATACGTGGCAACAATGGATGCCAAAAAAATGACGCTTATTCTTGTACCCTGATTAAAAATTTTTACATGAAAAGCCCAACTAGGGCTTTGCTGGTTCTGAAGTGTAAAGACAATCTACATCGCTATTTTTTCTCTGTTAATTCTGTTCTGTTGGAAAAAAATAAGCTTCTTACACAAACCGCAATACGTGGCAACATTGGATGCCAAAAAAATGACGATTATTCTTGCATCCTGAGTAAAAAATTTTACATGAAAAGCCCAACTAGGGCTTTGCTGGTTCTGAAGTGTAAAGACAATCTACATCGCTATTTTTTCTCTATTAATTCTGTTTTGTTGGAAAAAAATAAGCTTCTTACACAAACTGCAATATGTGGCAACAATGGATGCCAAAAAAATGACGCTTATTCTTGCATCCTGAGTAAACATTTTTACATGAAAAGCCCAACTAGGACTTTGCTGGATCTGAAGTGTAAAGACAATCTACATGGCTATTTTTTCTCTATTAATTCTGTTCTGTTGGAAAAAAATAAGCTTCTTACACAAACGGCAATACGTGGCAATAATGGATGCCAAAAAAATGACGCTTATTCTTGCATCCTGAGTAAAATTTTTACATGAAAAGCCCAACTAGGGCTTTGCTGGATCTGAAGTGTAAAGACAATCTACATGGCTATTTTTTCTCTATTAATTCTGTCCTGTTGGAAAAATAAGCTTCTTAGACAAATCGCAATACATGGCAACAATGGATGCCAAAAAAATGACGCTTATTCTTGCATCCTGAGTAAAATTTTTACATGAAAAGCCCAACTAGAGCTTTGCTGGATCTGAAGTGTAAAGACAATCTACATCGCTATTTTTTCTCTATGAATACTGTTCTATTGGAAAAAATAAGATTCTTACACACACCGCAATACGTGGCAACAATGGATGCCAAAAGAATGACGCTTATTCTTGCATCCTGAGTAAAAAAATTTACATGAAAAGCCCAACTAGGGCTTTGCTGGATCTGAAGTGTAAAGACAATCTACATCGCTATTTTTTCTCTATGAATACTGATCTATTGGAAAAAATAAGATTCTTACACACACCGCAATACGTGGCAACAATGGATGCCAAAAGAATGACGCTTATTCTTGCATCCTGAGTAAAAAATTTTACATGAAAAGCCCAACTAGGGCTTTGCTGGATCTGAAGTGTAAAGACAATCTACATCGCTATTTTTTCTCTATGAATTCTGTTCTATTGGAAAAAATAAGCTTCTTACACAAACCGCAATACGTGGCAACAATGGATGCCAAAAAAAATGACGCTTATTCTTGCATCCTGAGTAAAAAAAATTACATGAAAAGCCCAACTAGGGCTTTGCTGGATCTGAAGTGTAAAGACAATCTACATCGCTATTTTTTCTCTATTAATTCTGTTCTGTT